GTTTCGGTATCGTCTTCGTCGACTACGAGGATCCGAATAGGCAACGTATATTGAAAAAATCGGCTGCCTGGTGGCAGCAAGTGATAGCAGCTAGAAAAATTGAGACTAATTAAATCATCGTCATCGATGAAAATAAACAGATGATGAATTTTAGATAAATTTTTTAGTTGTCTCAAGTTGTGTACAATTTTTACTCTGTGAATCTTCCATATAAGATTCCAATCATTTTAATGTAATTAAAATTAATGTAATTTATTAAAAAATAATTCATGAACTTCTATATCGTCGTTTCTGTAGGTCGGAGTTACTCAGAGAAATTTCTCTCAGCCAACGCACTGGTTTCATGAAAATTTTGAATTAAATTACCCGGAATATTGAATTGTTAATATTAACTTCCGAAAGTTATTGCGAGAACTCGTTGTGGAGAGTGTTTCAAAAATTCTGAGGAAAAAGATCGGTAAAATTGAACAAGTGAAGTGGAAAAGTGAAGAAATTACTATGGCGCGAAATTTTGTCCACGATGGCCTCTGAGGATTAATTATTAGATTAATCTGTTCCTTATCCGTTCAGTTTTATTTCGAAATTCCTTCTTTCGCTTCAAAAACACGTTACGCGTTCATCCAAGTTGCGTTTCATCGCGTTCATATTAAAAGATGAAATTGTGGATGAGATAAGGCGCTACCGATGAAGGGCTAGAAGTACTTGTAACTGTACGAGTACCCACTATCTCGTTTATACAGCTTCGTATGCAGTCGGCAGCTAACGAAAAAGAAATAGAAAGGAAAATAACGGACCGCCCTGAATCTTCTGTAATTATTTTACTGCATACTGCGTGGAATTTTCACGATTCTGCTGGAAATTCTACGAGATGATCGAATGGAGCCGTGTATTGTACAGATATATATATATATATATATATATACACGTGAATTGAAAAATTGAAATACGACGCAGTGAGAATTTTTAGTGGGTACAAAAGAAAATATAAATTTTCTCGTTTAATAAATTATTAGTTGTATTAGGACACTTGTTGCTGGAAAATGAAGATTTGTATTAAAATTTATACCATATATCTGTGTATTATTTATGAGTCAAGTGACTAATACGTCATTATTTATAATGTCCGGTCATTACGAATAACGATTAAAACGGTTGTATAGTTTGATAAATATTGATTAATTTATCAAATCGAGCAAATATTGCTACATTAGGATAAAGCTATATTAGGTTTGAGTTAGTTTCAGGCATGAATTTAATTTGTCATTATGCGTAATGATTGAGATATTATAATGTTCATTAATCACTTAATAACGTATATACATACACGAAGATATGTGGTTATCAAATATTTTTTGTATTTTTGGTAGATGCACTGGATGAAATATTGTTAGTTGGAATGTTGGTTCACGAATATAAATTTCCTTGAAGTAGGTGACAACTTTGAAATAACATATGACCAGCTATGACCTGCATGTAAAGTTTCAACATTGAATCGATCGTCGAATGTTGAAATTGCCTGTTATATTTTCTGTTTTCGATCATCCCCTTTACACGTATAATCACTACAAACATGCACATTAAATCACTTTGTTACGATGAAACGGTTAGTTTGCGTAAGGCGATGCAGCGAGTAGACAATACGTCTGCTTGAATCTTCAGCGTTATTCAACTTTAACCCGAGCCGAGCTCAATACTTCCGAGACCGTGTTTTCATTCTACCGTACGTTTTACATCTTGCTACTCACGTTTACCTTCCGAAGTCCATTCCTTCCTTTATAAATAACATAATAGACCTCCACTTTCGTACGATCGTGATATTTCACTTGCGACCGGAGAGAAGTTTCTCTCTCCCTGTCTCTCTGGCTCGATGGAGGAGCCATGCAAACAGGGAGGAAGGCGTAATGTGTGTGTCACGCTCCCATGACGTTAAAATATCGGGCGGAATAAAATCAGCCGAGCCTAAAGCCGGCTGGAGATTCTCAAGGAAATCTTTGTTCCCCAGTGTAAACATCGCGTTTAATACACACAGTATAATACACGAAAATCTGCGCGTCAGAATCCCACGCGAGGGATTAGCTATCGTTTATCCGGAACTGAGTAAATTCGGAGGGCTCAGGCTCGCGAGAAGTGTCGCCCGTATCCGGTTAATTTTGTTAAGGCAGAGTTAGATGATAAGAAGAAAAAAAAAAAAAAAAGAAAAAAAAAAGAAAAAAAAAGGAATGGGCAAA